TATAGAGGAAAGGTTCTGAGAGCGGATCAATGCCAGTACGTTAGCCCTGGAGAGAATAGAAATAAAGCTTGCCCTAGACCCCGATCTCAACACACAAGCAATGGACTACATGTCTTCTGTTACAACGCCGGAGGTCTCGGAGGAGGGATGTACGAGGAACTAATGCACTTCCTTGATAAATCGCACTTTACTGTTGCGCTGATTCAGGAATCTAAATGGGGCCATGACTCGGAACACAGCACGGACAACTGGATCTGCATCGGATCCGCCGATCCCAAGCAGAAGCACGCTGGTGTCATGATATGGGTCAGAAAAAGCCTCACCAGCCCTGAAGAAATCAAATATGAGGCCATTGTCCCGGGAAGGCTGCTTCGGGTCAGATTTCCTCTCGGCAACAGTACGTTAGTGCAATAAGCGTGTACCAGTATGCCTGGAACAACAAAGATCCTAAACTCGTTCAAAAGCGACATGATATCTGGCAAGCCTTAGATAGATGTATTCGCAGTGCGCCACAAAGAGAACTTGTCATAGCTGGTGGAGACCTTAACACACAAGTTTCCCCGCAATCACCCTATGTGGGACCAGGCACAGGGATGCTCTCCAAGGATCGAGCCCCTGACGCGGAGGAGCTGATCAATGTTCTGCGGGCGAATCATGCAATGTTGCTCAACACATGGTCTGCGAGGCAAGACGAGGCCCACACATTCCGATTCGGCACGCACGCCGCACAACTTGATTATATAATAATCAGGCAGAAAGATGCCAACATGCAGCCCACATGGCGACACCTTGGGGGTTATCACATACCGCTTCATGCCTCCACTAGGAAAAGAGTCCCTCCCCCTAGGAAGCAAGAGACCCCGAAAAAGAGGATCGATAGAGAACAAATCATCGCATGCGCGAGCACCTGACGACCCTGGCAACGCAGCCCAGATACATAGGTTCAGAAGCAAAACGCAACAAATCCTTGACAGCGTGGCTTCTGTACAGGACCTTGGCAGCGTTGCCACTCGCATCGCAGAGGTGGCGGAGGCGGTCTTTCCACTTCGTAAGCAAGAGATTGTCAAGTACTCCAATCCGATACTTCTTTCAATGGGGATCACCAATATGTGGAGACAATGGATAGCCGTCAAGCGGACCAGCAAGGGAAAGAGCCTACGAGATATGCTCAACAGGTGGAAAGTCTGGGCTGCGTACCTAAGACAATACCGTGCGCGCAAGCAGCAGTGCCGCGAGCGCAAGAAGCAGTACCTTCAGGACAAAATGAGGGAAGCGGAACTTGCCTCCAGCAACCATGACCTTCGTACTGTCCGCAGCCTAGCGCCGAAAGCACCAAGAGCGCGTACTCAACTCAAGGGAAAGGATGGGGGGATGCTCAGTAGGGCTGAAGAAGCGGAGGTTTTCTGTGAGCATTTCAAGCAGAAATTCACATCGGCCAACGCTTGGCGCTATGATGCAGCAGCTCTCTACTTGAACAACATTGAGCGCTCCCAAAACAGCCAGCAGCTCATTGATTGCGAAAGCTCCATTGCGAAAGGCGGCCCGCCCACCGGGACACCCTCCGAGCGCGACCTGGAGGCTGTGCGCCGATCTCGCAGAAGCGATAGGCACCACTGCCGCCAACGATCTCTTGTCGATATTCGCTGAGGACTATCACTGTCCGGCAAAGTTCCTGACGTTATATCAACTGGAAACAAAACTTAGCCACATTGGCGCGCTGTTCCGAATTCTTAAGGATCTAGGCATGACGATCAGCCATTCCAAATCCAAGGCCATTGTGCTCTGCAGGGGCAAAGGCGCGGAAGCTATCAGGAAGATATTCTTCCGCAAGACGTCACAAGGTAGAGTCCTCAGATTCCACTACGCGCAAGAGGCTATTGATATCCCTCTGGTTGACCAATTTGTGTATTTGGGTGCCATTGCCAGTTACGGCGCATTCGAAGATCAAACATTGGCCCACAGACTCCAGATTGGAGCTGCCAACTTCTGGAGGCTAGGGAGGGTTCTACGCAGTAAGCGCTCCCTAACTAGGAAGCACACTCAGTGTGTGGCGATCATGCGTTCACACGGCCAGCACATACGGGCTTACTGCCACAAACTCATCGCTGACCTGCGTGCTACGTGACCTTTTGCTAGCCAGCTGCATGTGGGTTTGAGTCTGGCTCTCCGAGTCTCGCTGAGTCTCGCCGCGAGCCCCGTGAACGGAGGAGTCCAGCTTTTGCTACTGGGGTCCGCCTCCTCGGCAGGTCTCCCATCTGGTCTTCATCCGTGTGGATGCGAAAGTGCTGTGGTCCCCTTCGGCTCGACAAGGAGGCAGGCTCCCTGTCGCTTTGTTTCTGTCGAGCCTGCACATCCTTCCAGTACTGCACGTGGGGCGCCCTCTTCTTCAGCTCTCCAGGGGTCGCCTACCAGACAGTTGCTGTGCCCTTGCCGTAGGCTCCTGTTCACGGGGTTGTGGCTCTTCACTTGGCTTGGGCATTGTGCCTACTGCGCACACATGATTAAGCTCTGGCCACCAGGCATGATGGCTGCACCAACGGCACCCCGCACTAACATGACATGTGGCGCAGGCAGAATGACATGCAGCACTGCGTAAGCGCATGCAGACATGTGCTGATGCTCCTTGTGGCTGAACCGGTCGAGATGTTCGGAGGGCTGCACTCGTGTTGGCTGCGCGCCTGAGAGACAATTGGGGAGGGGCATTCACAGAATCGGGGTGGGTGACTTGCAGATCTTTATTTGGCTTACGGGGGCGTTTTACTTGCGAGCACAGGGTCATCGTGTTCTTCAGGGCACTTGTTGCGGCCACACACCTTGTTCTGGGGCCTTGAGGCTCCCAATGCGGTCTCTGAGCTACGTGGTTCCGGGGCGCGGGACAGCTTCGGCAAGCAATCGTGCGGGCCTCGTGTACACGCAGAGAGCAGTGAGAGCAAGGCTTGCGAGTCCGAGACAAATCTGCTGGCCTTTTGGCTTATTGAGGAAAGCGTCACAATCTGCGAGTCTTGCACTTCAGAGACAGGTCTGCATGTGTGTTTAAGCATGGTTACGCATGGGCTGTCATGACTAGTGACCCTCGTGTAGAGTGTCCCCAGGCTAGGAGTCGGGCTGAGGCCGTGGCACTTGGTGCCATATCAAGTGGTGGGCGCAGCTACACTCAATCCATGCGATCAAGCAAACCATGCTCTGACTCAGCCACTTCCGTAGATGTGATTTCGTTATGCTCTCCTTGCTCTGGCTCTTGCACACGCCCTTTTGTTTTGCGTCTTCTCTTGGGAGGCAGCGGTGCGTTTGCTTTGGTGGACCTTGGTGGTGTCTCATATCCTTGCTCGGTTCGGTCCGAGTGAGAGGTTGTGACGGTGTCGGCTTCGGCGGTGTCGCGCGATGATGCGGCGGCTCGAGGTGATGCGCCGGCATAGAGCGGGGTGTAAACTGAAGGGGCCGGTGCTCCACGGGCAACCCTGGAGGCGTGCTCCTCCCTTCTCTCCCGTTCCCTGTTGGCACACCAGTCCGCAATTTGCTCGACGCATCTCTGTCTTTCTGCCTCGGTGGCTTGCGCAAGGTACGAGTAGCTTCGGATGGAATCTCCGACGCGGGCAACAACATCCTCACTATTGACCTCAGGGTGTGCTCCCTGAACTGGCTTGTCTGACATGTTGATTTATACCAAGCGCGGGGCACCGTGGACACAATCTGGAGCCAAGTATGCAAAAGAACATGCGCTGCAGCGGCAGCCATGTAGGGGCCAAAAGGGCATCCCTGCGGGGGGCATACAACAAGCAGCTGCTGCAAATGAAACGCAGGAGTACACGCGCGCTGCCATGTTGGCGGGTTACATAGGCAACCACATATCTTCCAGATCCCTTTCATGAAGGAATTGGCTCCAAGCACCTTGTTCGTTTCTCCACAAACTTCTGTAGATAATATGTGGATAGCATTCTGCGCCGTTGGCTTCTCGGAGGTCTTGTTTAAGTTGTATGCAATGCATGCGCCGTTCAACCACCCTGCATGTGCGCTGCGCATACTGCTCAAGGAATGACGCATATAGTTCCTGCAGGTCATCAATGCTAACGCGCGGGCTTGCCTTGCATGTGCTGGCTTCCGTGGCTTGCTGTGCCTCAGCGCTCCTTTTTGCATGTGCCTTTGTGAGCACGAAGTGATGTAGCAACTTATGCATATCTGACAGGGCATCGTCAGGAAGCAGTTTTCGGAAAAACGACAGATGCTGGCACATGTCCGCTTCTTCCAGCTTCGTGTCCAGGATAGACCTGGCTTCGCTGCAGGCCCTCGGATCATTAGCTTCGTTAGATTTGAGGTAAATCCATACGCCCAACTCCCGGGCTTCCCCAACGCTGATCCCATGTAGGCCCAGCTGTAGCGCAAGTGCTTCCAGGTTGGCTTGGGCTGCAGCCTCAGTAACCAGGGGACGGCAAGGCCATCGACCCTCCCGAACACAGCGCCTTGTTTCTCGCTTCCGATCTGATTGCCTGCTGTCAGTGCTGGCATTGCTATGCTTTCTCTCAGTCCCTTCTCGCATGTTGCTATCAGCAGAGCTATGTGAAGGCAACATCTCCACATCCATTGCATCAAGCTAGGTGCAGCCCAGCTAGGGGGCAGATTTTGAGCCGTGGTGCTTGCTGCTGCTACTACTGCTGCTACTACTACCACCACCACCACCACCACCACCACCACCACCACCACCACCACCACCACCACCACCATGACGACGACGACGATGACGACAATGATGACGACGACTACTACTACAGTTGTCTTGCTTGTCTCCGTGTTGGTTTGCTATCGGGTTAAGTTTGGACAGTTTTCAAATTGTCCCTCGCTGTGCTAAAGAAAGAGAAATGGAAGTGCATGCGTACACACGGTGCCGTCACCTCCTGATGAAATGAACGGCAGGTCGCTCTTCTAACAGGCTACCTCCTACTGTCGCAGTTCACACTGTTCCTTTCGATGAGGCCCGTTTGAATGTCTAGCTGCTGCCCTGCTACGTCCTTCTGCTGGAAAAGACCAATCAGGTGCAACTCCGTAGCCAAGTCCAGCAATCTGCATTCTGCCAGCACCTTGACCCCATATATTCAGCCGACGTATCATCCCATCGCAGCCCAAAGCGCCGTGCTTGGCCCATGTGGCGTCCAATTCTCTACAACCGCTTGCCCGAAATCCATCGAAGTGTGGACTGGTTATGCTGCGAAAGCCTCCTAGCGATCCATCCTTGGCAAGGAAGACAGGCAAAACTGCCGCTTGAGCAGCGTCAGTGTTCGCACCAAATGCCAGTCGAGGCTGCTGAGCCCACATCCGCGAGAAGTCAACGTTCTCCAGCAAATACTGTACATTGCAAGGCCCAGCACCTCCCAACAAGCCACAGTGCTGTCCAGCTGCTATAGCAGCAATCCCAGGCGGACCACTACCCAGAAACACACAGTTCTTCATGCCAAACGCGAACGGGCCAGAAGGACCCAGGAATTGAAGTATGCCAAACCTGTCTGAGGCATCGTTTGCAAAAGTAGAGTCCAGCACATGCCATGGACGCTTGTCGGCGAAATTCTTCCCTTGCTTCCAGTACATTGCATGGCCATTGTTGATGCTTGTGAAGTTTATGAACCTCAGCTGCCCCCAAAAAACTGCCATGCATGCAGAAGCCACAACAGTTATGGGCCACACTGAAGAACTTCAGGATTCATCCACACATTCACAAGAACACAAAAGAATTCATGCAAGTGCATGTGCTTTGACATTTGGTACAGGGTGGCGCAACACTTTCAGGGCCTCGGGTCAAGCAGCTGAATGTCACCAATGGCATACTGACCGACATATGTGTTATGCCAGTTAACTTCATCCCGGATCTCATTGACAACTCCATTGTCGTCACCGCTTCTGGTGAACCACTTGCAGCTCTCCTTGTCAAGCAGGAATCCATCATCATCAACCTTTACGGCCCTCGGGTACTGATGATCAAGATATAAGCCAAATCTGTTACAGTCATGGCAGGTGTTCCCCCGCCACTCGCCAAAAGGATAAAATTGCGGGCAGGTCCTTCCTTGGGCCAAGCCATGTCCTGTGCCCCTAAACGAGCCTGGTGTCCAAATACCGTTCTCGTAGCCGACAATCCGATTCTCCAGTATGTTATTTGTCATGCCGATCATGAAAAGCCCTGCAGTCTGCACAGCCACGCCGCTTACCCAATCCACTGCACACTTCCGCAGGTTTGTGCATATGGCCACATTTTGTTTGATAGTGTTATGAAGCTCGTTGCCATCCTCAATGTACAAGGCGTTTGCCTTCACGTCCCAGATGACATTTTGATCAACCACGGAATAATGGGTTCCATGAACGGTGATTCCAACATGCTCTCCATCAACAACGGCATTGCCCTGAAAGACGCAGCGTGGACACTTCTTCATCAAGTGGAAATGCAGACAGTAGCGACCCATGACTGGTCTTTGACCACAATACTCGACCCTGGAATATCGAAGGTCCATATAGCCGGATCCTCCCGCTTGTATGGTGTGCAAGCCCTCCATCGACACTTCGATATCCTCATGGTCTCCAGTAATCAGAACAGTCCGCTCCAAGTTGACCACTTCTGCAGCAAGCTCAAAGCTTCTGCCTGCGATCTCTTTGTGCCCACCCCAATGCTCATCTTCCACAGGCTCCAACAAGGTCAGCTGTTTGCTTGCAAGGCTTGCTATGTGGTGGACGGTAGATTGACCACGGCTAGTCGTGGCCAAGCCGATTCGATCCCCAGGCTGCCATCCCATATCCGCTGGGTCGTGCTTCAATTGAAGGACTCGCTGTCCAGGTGCCACTGTCTGGCTCAAGAGGCTCCAGGTTCGTCTGAGGGGTCGCCCGTGGATCTCGATGATTCCAAAGCCACCGAGAAAACGCCGGCCCAGCTTTGGATGGCGATGAGGCCCATTTGTGATGTACACGGTTGCAGGGAGCTCCATGGGCGATGCCACACTTCCAATCATGAGCTGGCCTCCAGCTTCAACCAGAATGTAGCTAGCGCGAAGCTCAATGTCAGCCTTGCTCTGATCCCATTTGAGAATTCCATAAATGGTCAGAGTTTCAACATCCAAAGACACGTCCAACAGCCATGTCTCACCTGCAGGAACTGCACAGTGTGCTTGGCTGCATAGTGAGGACGAAACCAATCTGGCCTCAGCCTCCGTGATTCTGGCGTTTCTAGCCCGCCGCTGCAGAAGCTCAGAGCCCGTGGTGCGACATGTGACCGAAGAGTTCACTGCAAGAGCACCTCTCAATGCTAGAGCACACAAGCAGTAGTTCCACCAGGTCACGGCAGGCTTAGCGCGCATGGCCCTTGCAGGCTTGTGCATGAAGACTGCGGCACAAACTGCTGCGGACATTCTTGTTGTGCATACAAATCTACATTCGAATGCTGAGCAAAAATATGAGTCGCCTGGAGCGAGGGTGGAGGTTGCACCTCTGGACCTGCAGAACTCAACTCCTCTTCGCCACAGAAAACTCCCAAAGTCAACAAAATGAAGGAAACATGATGACCTGCATGACTTGCATCGCTGGTGGCCCCCACGGTCTCAAGCGCAGCACGTGGCCTTCATGCGGGACTAGCAAAGGCTCAGGTGGTTCACGACAAGTCACAAGTGTTTTGTAGAAGATTGTTAGCTAATCTCGAAACCAGTCTCCCTCCCTGCCCTAGGCTAAGACTAAGAGCCTCCATGAAGAAAGGTGTACAAACCCTTTCAAGGCCATAGGAATTTGGATGCAAAGACTGGATACTAGAGCAGTTGGCTTGCAGCAAGCTGTCATTCACTCGCTCCAGCTGTTGCAGCACCAAACATTCCATCACATCACTTGCATAGTGTGACATGCATGTGTCCAAAATTCATCAATTGACTCGACGATGACGCTTCATGATGCTTGAAGCTGTTCAAGAAGAGGAGGCAAAAGACACCTCCATGAAGATGAAGGGAAGCTCCGAATTGAGGCTTTTCATCCGGATGCGATCAACAAAGCCCTGGCCTCTACTCGGCTTATATCCTAACACAAACATGATTTTGCAATTCGGTCTCAAGGACGGAGTCGCTACACATCGTCAACCCAACCAAAGCGTGATCAATGCCATGTGCAGATTTGAGTGCTGCGCTTTGGTGCTGGCGCCAGAGATGGAAATAAAGCCTTGAGTCAAACAAAGCAAACCTCTTCTAGACTGCCAGCAAATAAACCCCTGTGGGTCCTCGTCATGCACGTCTTGCTCGAAGGCCTTGATCTTTGTCCTTCTGCTCAGGAAAATGCACCACCTAAGGTGCCCAAATCTGCGGTAGTTCCTAGGATCTAGCGGTTGCTCCGTTTCAGACTTGTGCTCCCATGTGCCTGGCAGCGGAGGCGCGGCCTGGCATGCATGCAGTATGTTACCTTCAGACACATACAGTTCGCATCATAGCAAGAGAGCACAAGGAAACACACGCCCGAAGGGACAAAGTTGACAATAGCAGCACTCCAGCACATAATGCATTGCTCACTGGACCTCCTTCAGTGTTGGATGCTTCGTCAGCGATACTTTCGTCCTACGCTCACTACATTTTTGGGGAACATCAGTCTGAGATTGAAAAGCTTTTTATGGGCTGCTGCTGGAGGATCACCTCGCAAAGGGTAAGCAAGGAGCCCAGTTCGGCGGAGACCTGCAGACATTGGCAAAGCAGCCGACATGCATCACAAAATCTCGAGTGACCATGCTGGTGTGTTTTGAAATGATATTCGTCTGCAGTCATTGTTGTCCATTCAGCAATCTCCGAGGATCTTGCCGCTTCAAACCGACGCTTGATCTCTGCAGCCTTGAGATACCTTGACACAGGATACTGCCAGCTTGTGTACAGCCAGCGTGTTAGACACTTGACCTCGGACATGGTCTCCAGAGACCTACCGCTAGGTGCAAAACGAGTGATGTCAAAACACACTCGACAAAACAGACCGCAACCAGAGGAAGCAAAGCATGCTCTGAGCTGACTGGCCACAAAAAAGTAGCATTACAATTTGTACCAGGATTGGCCAGATTCCTCACTGTACACAAGAAGCTGCTTTGACTCTCGCTATGCGATCCCTCATCATGTGCGGCAGCTGCCTTCCGAAAAGCTGCCCGCCATGCAATTTGTGAAAATCCTCCGTAAAATCAACTTTCGCGAAGTGACAGAGAGCTCCTCCAACAAAGGCATCAAACAACCGAGGGGCTGTTCTTCAGCAATCGCACGCTGCTTCAACCTAATTGCAAGCCCCACAATCCCAGCTGTGCTCAACCGCTGCACATCTCAGCAACACGGGACGAACATACGACCGGCGCAACAGGCCCTTTCTTGACACATGATGTGTGATTTTGCCAGCTGACTGCTTCCAAGCAGCCGCTGTAGCTCTTCACATTCAGAACGGGCAGCCTGTTCAGAAAATTTCTCTCAGAGCCCTAACAAAAAACCCCGGGTTTTTCGAGCGCAGCCTCGATCTGCTGCTCGAGTTGCCGCTCGTTGGAGCCCTCCGCCGCCTCGGCCGCCTCGGCCAAGGGCCGGAGCCGCCTCAAAGTACGCGCTTTACGCCACAAACTATGCACACAGGCGCAGGATGCACGCACCAACCGTATACGAGATTCTGCGAGCTCCGAGCACTTTGAGACCGCCGTCTGGCGAGGGGAGGGCTTCGAAAACCTGAGCTGGTGCAAGACATCTAGACATATGAAACGTAAACAATTTCCAACGAAACTGCACCAAGACAAGAAGCATCCCAGTTCTTTGCCATCCAAGCCTTGTTGATGCAAGTCAGATGTTCTTTTGCAAGAAGCCTGCAACCAAGTTCAAGAAGATTTGAGGCCAAGTCAACGGAAATCCAATGAAGCCACAGTAAATGCCTACCCTTTGCTGCCGTCAACCCTTCGTCTTTCATCCACCAAAGGAAGAGGAGGGAGGAACAGGGGTAGGGAAGAGCAGCGGGTTTAGGGGTGAGGGAAGTCAGGAAGGTGACCTCAAAGAATGTGTTAAAGTCCATTATTTGCCAACAGACATTTTGCACATTCACCAACATCAAAAGGCCTTGAGAGGGTGTTAACGTGTCAAAGGAAAAGGAAGAAGACCTATACAGCCCACAAAATCACAAGGTTGTTGCGCGCAAGCCTTTGCCCACGCAAGTAGATAGATACAGCAGCAATGCTGTCAAATTCATTGTACGGAAAATTTTCATAGGAAAATTGTCCATCCTCTTCAGATGCGCATCCTCGTTTATCTCGGTCAGGGATAGTGGCCTTAGTTCAGCCCCAACCCGGCACGGACAGCAACATTTCCAAGCAACATTTTCCTGTTTATGACATAAACCCCATATCAGATCTTACCAGCACATCAACAGCTTTTTAGGAACCCGTGTGGCTCACCAAGACGGCCCGAACGCAACGACATCATGTCAATCATGTGAATGTGTAACATTGTGTAAACATAAGCCTCATGCACACTTTGCACTTCCGAGGCCCAAACTCATCTTTGCCCGTCAGCAGAGAAATCAAATGCCGCTGCACCTGTCACGCACTCGTAGAGCTGCATGCAAACAAGCATGCAAACCCAATTTCACTGGTTGACAAACTCTGCATATCAAGCCAACATGATAAGTCATGAATCTGAGAAGGGCCAGGACGCGCTAAGTGCCGAGGAAGACACAGACACAGCCTCTGGCTGCTGATCGTATAAGTACTTGTGCCAGCATGCGACAGATCAACACTCGAACATGCGTCAAGGCATCCTTTTGAACTTCTCCTTCTGATTCCACATTCGGGCAGCCATTGCCGTGAGGGGTCCTTGCTGCCTGATGCCCTGAACATGCGTTTTTCTGTTCTGCAAGCGGCTGTTCGATTAGTCACTTCTGATCGCTTCGAACATCAACGAATGGAGAATTCATGCAAAGTGCGATTGGCAGCAGAGCAACCCGCCGCTCTGCCCCACCAACTTGCACACGACTCTCTTCAGCAGCCCGCAGCTTTCTGAGTACATTGCATGTCTGAACAGACCAGCAGATCCTGAAAGAGTACGAATACGATCCAAATACCAAAGTGGCCGCGTCGGAGCCACAATCTTGTTGGTTCGAAAAACGGAACACCAAAAGTTCAATGAAGATTCAACAGATTTCAGCAGGACCGCTGATGCTGCAGGTGCTCGGCCCTGGTTGCAACTTGGCGACGGGAGCCAAAACCTCCGAATCTGGCTCTTCTGCTTAAGCTCTCTGAAACGAAGACGAATCTTCTGAGCTCGCTCATGGTGAGCGCAGAGCGCACTGCATATCTTACTATGGCTCCTTGCAGACGGAGTTGCATCCTCATTGAAATGAACGTCGAAATTTGTGCATCGTTATCGAAATCCCCTCCTTTTTCTTTGGTTGCCAAGGTTGCAAACAAATAAGTTTCCAGTCAAGTTGTCATGCTTCCCCCCGGTAGCGAAGCAGCGAAGCGCCGCCTCGGTGCCAGGCCGCCAAGCCGAGAGAGGAGGCCGGAAAATCTGCAGCGACAGATAGCGACAGTACTTTTCAAACGCATCTTGAAGCAAAAGGACCGGATCGGTATTGAATCAAAGGCCTCTCGTTGCCAAGATGTCTCTCCAAACCTTGCCAGCACAAGCGGTGATGCGCTTTTGGGGTTCATGGCTTTGCATTTCTCCAGCCAGAATGCTTAAAACCTTAGCCCAGCACAAAAGATCCAAAGCATGGCCGTCTGCACTCGCAGCACCAAGCTTAACAAGCGCTGCCTCACAAAAAAGGCTGCCAGGTTCGCACACCCCCACCAAAGACAAACCCAAGGAGAGCTGCGCTCTGGCCGGTGACAAAATGCAGGCTTTGCAGGGTCACAACTAAGCCCTAACACGGCCTTCAAGTCCGGAGGTAAAGGACAAATGACTTCTTGAGATTCGTTCCTGCATCAGAAACTTGAAAATCCAAAGCTCAGCAGTGGAGCACTCGCTCCTCAAGTCGCGGAAGCAGAGGCGGAAGGAGTGCAGAAATAGCCGGGGGCACCAGCTTCGGTCCTTTAGTTGTGCTCAAATCACGACATTTCCCAACATTTTCCTTTACAGTCCTTGTCTAACTGCCCAGCATCACCATATTTATCATCTGAGACAAGCGGGTGTCCCAGGTGCTGCCTTGGCATCGTTCAATGTTCACCCTAAGCCCTAGGATGTGGATCCACGCCACTGATAACACCCACAGGTAACAACGGAGGCTGAGATTCTGACATATGTACACGGATCTGATGTGTTCGCCCAGAAGTGATGTCGCAGGCCTCCAAATATGAATTGCAGGCTCACCAGCAACAATGGCAAACACACTCTTGCTAAGGTAGGGAGCCCACCAACAGACTGTGTCTGGCTGCAACACCAGATCCAAACCTTGCCTTGGCAAATCATTAATTAAGGCCGATGGACACACAAAGACTTTGGGTCTAGGAGAGAAGCTTGCCTTCTGGGTTTACTCATGTGAGGTGCGCATGCCAAATTTGGGTGCCGCCAGCTTGCTATGAGCTGATATCGAGTCTCTGCCCAGTCGCCTGCGCTCAATGCAGATCCATCAGATTGCAGAAGGACAACCTATTTGGTCCTCAATCCACACATCACCTAGCCCTCAAAACTTGAGTTACGTACTACTTACATGATGCGACATGGTGGTAATAACGTGTCCTGAACGAAAAAACCACCAAAATGATTAGCCCCGGCGGTGCCGCAGAAGGAAAATTTGATTTTAGAAGCCATACCTAGCGAAACATCTGGCTGTTTGAAGTTTGACACCACTCGGCCTGCACTGGAAATTTCGGACCTGCAGTTCAGTTCAGCACACAAGCTTGTGCCAGCTTCACTGCTCATAATCAAGGCCTTTGGCTACCTAGGCGCTTAAGAGAGAAGTTGCAGCAGGCAAAGCAGTGCACATGAGCTCCTCATCCGCAGGCGGACACGTCTGTAAGTCCAAGTCGGGCAGCCCCGGACTGACGGAGAGGTAACAGCAGGATTAAAGTGCAAACTTGTGCTGCAACTAAAGGGCTGAAGGGCTATCCTGTGGCCCCTGGCAAAAGTGAAAATTGTCTCCCACAGCTGCTCTGTGGGGCTGTGTCATGGGAGTGGCCTTATGGCCATGCACTGCTGGTTAGGCGGTGACGTCCACCTCCTTTGCAATCTCAGCAGCAGAGGCCGTGCTCTCCATCTCTGTCACCCCAAAGACCTCTACGTCTGCCCGAGAATTGGCTTCAGGCTTTGTGATGGTCTCTGCGCTCTCTGCGCTGCCAGCCACCTTAATGCCCCTCCACTGGAGTAATTCCACGTGACCATCTGCGAGGTCCTCCTGCGCAGGACGGTAACACTGAGTGACAAGACTACAGCCCTGGTGGAACACTGAAAAACCCAGTCCTGCAGCGCCTCTTCCAGCGATTGTTCCCAGCTGTTGCTCAGGCCCACAAACACTTGCTGAGCCAGCAGAAATGTGAAAGCCCACTTCATGTCTTGTTCAAGGAATTGGCTGGGAATCTACTGGCAAGTCCCTTAAATCTATCCAAAACCTCAGGGTTTGAGCATAATGGCAGCACAGCCGCGCTCATAGAGGCAAATCACAAAAACACCTCTGTCAACCTTCCTTGCTCAGGCAAGCCTGGTGGTCGCATCCGTTCTCAGAGTACGAATGCTCGCATCCACCGTGCCATCGGGAGACGACACGTGGCCATGAACGAGACATACATAGCGCTTGGAGATCTCTGTCTTGTGAAACCTGTCAAGAGAATACATTGGAGTCATGCGCCTTCAACATGGAAAAATATGATTCGAGAAGAATGTACATGCCACACCGACCTGTGCACCCACATTGTTGGAAAAGAAGACAAGTGAGGCCCAAATCTCAAGCAAGATAAGAGTCCAACTGAGCACGCAAATGCCGCTGAGCCTGGCGGCAGCAGTAGAGGCTGATGTGGACTCTAACAGAAACTGCCACGCAACTCTAGGCTGAAGTGTGCTCAGCCATGCGGCTTTCAAGTCATCTCTGAGGCCCTGGCAGCAGCAGTCTTTGCCGCCAACAAGGGCCCACTGGTCTCCTGCAGAAACCATCATATGCATCATGTGATCAAGGCAAAAAGGGGATGCACCCCCAGCCATGAAAGACACGCAAGCGAAATGCACCCTGTGCCTGGTCAATACGATGTGAAAGAGGACCAAAGCCTGTCCCGGAGAGAGCTGGGTTTGACCTCGCAAGGGCTCGCACAGCTTAGCCCTCTGCTTTTGCTGACACAATCAGGCTCGGAACTTGGTGATGCTTACAGTTTTCAAAATATTCAAGTAATCAGCTTAATCACCTGTCCAACAAAGAAAAAAACAGGCATCCTGGCTCTTCTTCGAACAGCTTTGGGTCGATGCTTGTTACCTGCATGTTGCCAGCTACGAGCCTCAAAGTCTTGACGAAGGGTGAAGAGAACTAAGCTTGACCAAGCCTTCTCCTTCAGCCAGCTTGGTAGATGCAAGCCTTCCTCAACAGTCATCACAAGAAGGCCACTCCTTTTATGTGTGAAATCGGCGTGCCTGTGAGGATCCTTTGGGTGGCAACTCCACCTGCGAATCTGCCCGCAGCACCAATCGGCCCAATGCTTGATTGAAAAGCTTGTTCAGCTGTGCCTTCCAATGGGGCGGCTTGTAGATCACCAGCCTGACGTCTTGCCAACATTAAAAAAAAAAACAAGGCCCAGTTCTACTGATTTCTGGGCATTTGCGGCAAGTCGAGGACCACCTCTGGCCTTGGCAGTTTGCGTGGTCAAACAGTCTTGAAAAAACTCACCACCCCGCTTGAGCCCATGGCCACGGAACGCCCGCAGCGGGGTTGCAGGTCCTTGCCTTGTTGATCTTGCTGGCTGTTGGGAAAGCCTGCCAGGCTCACGGAATGAAGTGACCGAGTGTCACGCAAACTGGCACACATGTCCTCCAACCGAGCACCTCCATCAGTTGCCTCAACAGCAAGATGCACATGTTGTCAAAGGGTTCAGGGTGGGAACCAAAACTCGGAACCCTAACCCATAAACTTAATTATGTATTTTTTATGTCATAGTTATACATGGGTGCTTCCACAGAGCAAATGGTCACTCTAGGGGCAATGGGCTCTAATAATGCGGGAGGTTATGCTGACATCAGCAGCGTCGCAGCAGCAGCCTCCCCGCAGCAGCCTCCCCGCGGCAGCCTCCCCGCAGCAGCCCCCCAGCAGCAGCCTCCCAGCTGCCTCTCAGAGCCTCCCAGCAGCCTTCCAGCACCAAAGAAATTGCGCACGCGTGTACGTGGAAGGGGTTCGGGAACTGGTGTTCAGGTAGG